AATCACTGGTAATTTTCTAAAAGAATAAGTCTATCTTAATAAAAGACTACCAAATCCTCACAAGCACAGCACAAGTTAGAAGAATACAACTGCGTTTAAAAATATAATTGTTATATACACGTATATATAAAGATACATTTCTTGTAATATACAAAAGTAAGATTTTAAAAGCATACTTGTAGGCGCGCTTTGTTGATAGTTCATGTAAACATTGTATTCTTTTTCGACTTACCAAATTGCACATTTAAATCTTAAGTGATAGAGCCATCAACGATTTTTTGTTGCTGTTACCTTTCACCATTTATTCACTGACATTGGCTAGTAGCCAAACGATGTTGCTGCTGCCGTCGAGCCAACAACGATAACAACGAAATAGTCAAAACGAAGAGTAAGAAAACGTGTTGTTGTGCATATATATATGCTAAGGTAGAAGCGCACATTGTATATAAGTATAATTGTATATAAAATTGGCGCTTTTTAACCACAGAGACGATTTTTGGCCGAGCTTCTCCTTCAATTTGGTTTGTGTGCCTTGATGGATTTTTATTAGAAGCTTTTATAACATGTCAGAAATATACGCAAAAAGGTTGACCTTCCCTGGTGATGGGCGCAAGAAATTTAGAAAAATTATTGTTTTTAATATATATTCAAATTAAGTTTATATAATTTTGAATGTTGGTATGAAGCGGTACCGAGTTCACAATCTTCCGCATAATATTACACACTGCTGACCACTCGACTATATTTACTAGCAAAATAAAGCGAGTTTGTTTTACCGCAGACACAGAAGGTACAACATATAAGCAATAAGCCACCGTCTATCCTATGCCACTTGATATTTATAATTTAATTTAATTTTTATTTCTTCCTCACTATTGCTTTTGTGTGAAATGTCATTTCAATATAAATTACCAGGCATTTAGCGTGAATGACAAAACTACCAAAAGAAAATGCAAACAACAGTTGCATTTTCCCTAGTATCTGTTGCTCGCTTGTGTCAATCAAAGCCTTCTCACTGTCGCTGGTTGTTTGTCGAAAATGCTTTTTAATTATCCTAAATGAATTGGAGACAACGGAGTGAACAGTTGGACGAAGTGCACAGCGTCTGCTGCTTTGTTGCATTTGTATCATTTTTTCTTTCCTTTTATTATTCACCTAATTAAATCTTAATCTAATTTTAACTGAAATCTTATTCGTAGCTGTTTAAGGATAAATTATGGAGTAGAAATGAAATAATAATGTATGTAAAACAATTTGTATTTTATTTTATTTCATAGCATTTATTTTATTAAATTAAATAAAATTTAAGTTTCTTAATTTTAAATTTTTTATTTTAATTTCTTTTTTCTTCATTTATTATATATTATTTGATTTTATTTTTTTTTTCTTCTTTACTTATTTTCTTTTAATTGATTTTATTATTATATTTTACCTCTTTTTATTATATTTCATTTATTTTATTTTAGTTTATTTTATTTAGTTTTATTTTAGTTTACATTATTTTATTTTCTTACTGGTTTTATTTAATTTTATTATTTCAAATTAGCTTTGTTTTTTTTTTACTTTAATAAAAAGTAATTTAATTTATTCATTTTGATTAATTAAATTTTTTTATTTTACCTTGTTTTGTATATATTTTTATATCTTGTATTTTATTTTATTTTATTTCATTTTATGTTATTTTATTTTATTTATTTTTTATTTGCTTTTATTTTATTTTATTTTATTTATTTTTTTAAATTTCCTTTTTATAATTTTCCTTTGGTTTATTGTCTTGTTTTTTTATTTCATTTATTTCATTTTAATTTTTTTATTTTCTTTTCCTCATTTTATTCTACTTTCCATGTATAACCCTTTTATTTTTTAATTTAGTGTCTATTATTTTACTTTAATGCGAGTTAAATTAAAAACAAAATACAACTGGCCATCATCCAAAATGGTTTGCCCTAAAGGTTTTGATTTTCATTTAGGCAAAGATGACTTTGGCGCATTATGAAAATTTCATAATGCAATTCTAAATGTGATACTTGTACTGTTTTTTGTTGGTATTGGAAGACCGCCAGTCAGTTACAAAAGCAAAACTTGTGTAGGTTATTTAATAAGACTCGAAATGTTGGTTTAAATTTCTGTTGACAATAGTCAAAGTCTGTCGCTCAGTCCGTCAGTTTGCTGATATATGTTACAAGGTGTAGCTTGAAGCAATTGCAATTTCGTTGCCAGCAATGCTAATTTCAATTACTACAGCTTGCAGTCTCTGTTACTCTCGAACCATCGCACCCCTTCACCAGAAGTAAAAGCCTCCGTAATCCATGCGGAATATATTCTATAGCGAGTGAGCTCATTTCACTCAAATTATGTATATTTCATATGACATTTGGCTTTACTTTTCACACTGCACTTCACTTGCATTGGCATACATTCTATTTGTTTAGGTATGCTTAAAGTAGATATGTAGATATGTGTATGTGCACAACTGAGATACTCGTGCTCTGTGGCGTATGAGTAACGTATTTATGCAGTGATTCAATTTTAATATAAATTTGTACATATGAACTTACTCACATATAAATTTGTGTGTAATATAATACGACTGCTTAATAATATGTGTATAATATACATCCATATACGTTTGTATGTATATGGTTTGAAAAATGTACACAGTTTTATAAGCAGGTCACAGGTTGCACCAGTTATGATTAAAATTGAAGAACTCATTGTGTAAAGGGGGAAGTGGGAATATGAGCGATAGTTTCTATTAAATTTAATATTTAATATTTACTCATGGACTCTTTACGTAAATTTGATGAACTTTCAAAGTTATGCATTTAATTAAAATGTTCTATTTGACTGTTTTTGGTCGGATTTCTTTTGTATTTAAATTCATAGGATCAAAGGTCTGATTGGTGTTAAATTACGTAAACTATTTTAATTTAGCCCCTTACCTAGACCAAAAACCTTGTTAATTAAGAACGTTTAATAATGGCGGAAATTCTTCGGAATGTTTAGTCTATCACGTAAGCTATGTATACGATTCAATGTCGAATTTGTAAAAAATTTAAACTTAAAGCGAAACTTCTCAATATAAGACTGATTAGTTTTTTTAATTGGCTGGCACTCCTGCTTTTTGATAGCACTCATCAGCAACTCGGTATAAGAGAAAATTCCACGAAAATATACGACGGCTTACAGCAGATTTCTAGTTCATACATATTTATACAGGAAATACTTCTCTAGCCTGCTAAATGGCAGTGAAAGATTAACGCCAGTAGATGGCGTACCCAAATCATCAATCGATGACGATGGAACAAATGTTTCACTGCCATACTATGAAGAAGCTCCAAAAGCATTCGCCCATTTGGAAAACCTGCCGAACTATTCAAAAGAGGAATTTACAAGAGTGATTGTGCGTTGAATTTAAAAAGGTTACCCTGTTGGTGATGCTAATATTGTTTCCAAGATGGAGGAAGTTATCTTCGACTTAAAATTTATGAGTGTCAACAGTGCCGTGGGGCCGAGTCGCGAATGTGATGACTATTTGTTTGATGACAGGAGTTATTTCGTCTTGCTCCTCGTTCACTGCCACACCCATATCCTTCGCTTCTTCATCTGTTCTAGAAACAGCAGAACTCACGGCGCGGTTAACTCATCAGCGTACATCAGTAGCGGAACACTCCCATAGAAGAGTATAGTAGTTCCTATTATACAAAATAAGGAATCACCCTGCCTGACGCCTTGTTTGGTACCGAACGGCTCGGAGAGGTTCTTTCCAATTCTGATTGCGCTTTTGGTTTTGTCTAGTGTCAACTTACACAGCTGTAGAAGTTTTGCGAGGATACCAAATTCAGACGTAGCAACGTAGAGGCAGCTCCTGTTCGCGCTTTGAAAGGCCGCTTTTAAATCAACCAAAAGGTGGTGTGCGTCGGTCCTCCTTTACGCGTATTTTCCAAGATTTGGCACATGGTGAATATCTGGTCAATAATTTACTTAGAAGATCTAAAGACACACTGATAAGGTCCAATCAGTTTGTTGACGGTGGGCTTCAGTCTTTCACACAATACGCTCGACAGGACCTTATAAGTTTATTTCACGGTAATTGGCGCAGACTGTGGGATCCCCTTTTTTATAGGTTGGCCAGAGTACACTTAGATTCCAATTGCCAGATATGCTTTCATCCGACCATATCCTGCAAAATAGCTGATGCAAGCACCTTATCAGTTATTCACTGCTATACTTGAATAGATTTTATTTAGGCGGGCAATTGTAGTTCAAACCTCGTTATATTCGGATAATGGAACGTTTTTTCCATCGTGATCGTTTGGAGTCTCGATTTCACCATCTAGAAAAGTATTCCCTCCATCAATTCAATTTACTCTGGACATCGGTTGCTCTTGGTGTCCTCCAATGGTCTGCACCAGTTTTGAAACATTCTGTAAGTCGTCGTACTCTCATTCTGGTTGTTATTTTCATCTAAATCTCTCCAGCTTATATTTTTCCTACAGGTAATGAGCAATCTGACTATTTACAAATTCAACCTTTCGACTAAGAAGTGTTCAAACTCGTAGATAATACTACTGTGGAATATGTAAAATTTTTGTTAAAAATATATTTTTTTCGTTTTTGTTAATACCTGTTACTCATTAGAATCTCACAAAAGTTGTTAGCATCAATACAGTTTACGTTTTACATATACATATATATAGAATTATCTTTGCATGTAGTAGAGTACATTTGTTAATTATTCAAGATAAGGTTATCTCTTCGCAGTTGATTTTTAGTAAATCATCTGCTTGACGCTGCGTGCTGCTGCAAGGCACGTAAAAAAATATATTTGCATTCATAGATTAATATAAACAACTTTATCAGCAGAAGAAAGAGATGTTATCAAGTGTTGTGACTAGCTATCGCTTACTAATACAGGCGTAAGCATACCGCGCCGCCTTATAAAATTTACTTAATTTAACATAAATTCAGAAGCTGTCAGATAAAATCACTTACTACTGTCCTTATCTGTTTATCATTCGAACGCTAACGCAATGAGTTTTACTTCGACTTACAACTAGTTTCTCATTAACCGTAAGCGATTTAGCATAAAGTAATTAGCGAAGAAGTTAAAAACACATAAAATGGTCAACTGTTGGCTCGGTATAATTATTTTGTATTTCCTGCTGCTCTTAAATTGCCACCAGAGCACTGCCACCCCAAGTAGGCGCATTATTTATAGATTCACCGATTGCAATGCGGAACAATTGCAACATTTACCTAAACTCGCTGCGGTCTACGAGCTCTCCGCTGTCACGTGCAACATTTCAACGCTACCAAATGCGTACTTTACACGATTCACCACACTCGCAGCGCTGGAGGTGCGCGAGAGTGGGCTGTCGAAGATAGAGGATAACGCGCTTAGCGGTCTCGATCGCCTACAGTGGCTCTCGTTGCCCTGGAATTACATCACCAGCGTTAAGCCATGGTGCCAGACGTCCCTTAAAGCACTGCACACTCTCGATCTTGAGGGCAATGCTGTGAAAGCGCTTACGGTTGAAAGCTTCGTACGTTTTCCAAATTTACAATATCTCAGCTTAGCTTCCAATATGCTGGAGCGCATCGATGACGCTATATTCATACACTTGCCGCATTTGAAGCATCTAAATTTGGCTAACAATCGCCTGAGTGTGATTGACGCGTCGTATTTTCGAGGCATGCAACATTTGGCACATTTATCATTGCAGAATAATGCGATTGAGCGTATTTCAGCCGACAGCTTTGCATCTAATACACATCTGCGTTCGCTACTTTTGAATGGCAATAAGTTGCAGGATTTGGATTTTCTAAGCAGCAGAGCTCTTCCACGCCTCTTGCATTTAAACGTGTCGCACAACCAAATAGAAACTGCCACTGTTTTCGGTTCTGGTGCTGGTGAAGGCGGTGAGTGGGCGTTGATTGATTTGGATTTGAGTTGGAATCGTTTAGGGGAAATAAAAGTGGAGACACTTTCTGGATTGTCTGGAATTTTGGTGAGTTGAAGAAACAATGTAAACTAGGTCTAACTGCTGGATTTGATATTTCGTCAATATTTCGTAAGACTATGAGTAGCTTAACAACTTGATACGTGCTTGGAACAGTGCTAAAGTTTCATTAACTGCTAAATCAAAATTAGCGGGGTTGCTTTTGCCTTGTAAGGAGGTTGTCTGAAGTGCTTCCAGACTTTTTTGGCAACCTCACGACTCTTTGTTTCGAAACTTTATTTTACTTTAGCATTTTTGATAATTATTTTATATATTTTTATACCATTAAATATTTAACATTCGCTTTCATTAGAACGCATGGCATTTTATATTTGACGGTGGATCGTTTTTTGAATGAATGATTTAACGAACTTTTTTATTAGCTTACTAAACAGATACATGTTTTCAGCCGATGTGTTTTTTAAACCTCCAAGGCTTACTCGAACATTTGCGAGCAGCTCGTGCTTATGAAGAACGAGTGGTTACACTCTGATTTATTGCTCGGAAATGTTTGAACTCTATCGAGCAATCTGAATAAAAAATTAAATTTTTTTCTCGAATATTTTATTTGTTTTTTTTTTTTATAAAGTGTACAACTCATCCAAATATTAAAGAAATTTTGGCAAACCAAACTGAAAATTGAGCATTTCCAAACAAGCGTTTAAGCTGCTCACTCTGCTCGATACGCGGATATTTAGAGCTGTAGTTTCTTTCAATTGCGAAGCTCAAAACTGAATTTTTAAGCAAAATAAATGTTATGATGTAGGCAAGATGATACAAATTATTTTATCTCAAATAACGTATCAACTTCAACACATTTATATATTTTAATATTTGCAAATCGATATCCCCGGATTACCTTTCTCAAGTTGGGGTTAAATAAGTTGTAGATTTAAATAGTTTTTCGCTCTGTATGCCTAGAACACATTTATTTATAATCATAGCATATTTTACATACTTATTTCTTAACGCTAATCTACTGTTGACAACAGCATTATGTACAATTATCTTAATCACAAACGTTTTCAACGACGTAGAGAGGGTATCCTATATGCAAATTGCAATTGTTGTTAAGAACGACCGCATTAAGCATTAGGCTCTTCTGACCAGGTTTCGAACTTATGATCTTCCACATAAAACTACGTACTGCAAGCCAGTAAAATATAGCAAAATAAAAATTTTAATATAATTTTTTTGATATATGAAAAGTTGAAGCAACCTTTTTACAGCTAAATCAAACACTTTTTTGTACTCATTGTATGAAGAAATATTTGGGTTTGTGTAAATGAGTTAAAGTTCATAACGTCCTTAATAGTATACAAACGAAAATATCTCGCGTGATACATCCACCTACACATACTCATTTGATCAAACTTGAGAGCTTTATGAAGTACGTTTTTTTAGTGAGAAAGGCCTGGTTTATTTTTATGAGTTGAATATTTATACAACAAAGAAAAATGATAGACGTGACAGCTGACCACATCTCCTTATCACATTTCGTGTGGCAGTGATTGAACCAACGTATCCCGACTTAACAGCGAATGCTGTACCGCTGCGCCAGAATAAGCCAATTATATTCATTTCATTTTTAACCAATTTGAACATCAAATGAATTTCGTTAAATAAATTAATATATAATAATCAAAAAGTTCTTTCAATACAAAATAGGGAGTTTCAACCTCGATGTGGACAATTTGAGCATACAGTGAACCATGTTTTTACAACAAAGAAACTTCATTGTTATAAGCTACATCGTAACCATAAATTTCACGTTGATCCAAGAAATTTCAATTCATTTGGAAATGCTACCCTTAAAACAGTTAACAAAATAAACTCTATTTCCTTATACCCAAAGCGAAATACTGTCATTAATGTTAAATTGTTAACAGATAATGTTAAACGTTTACATTGAAGTGTGTGTTAATGTCCTAGCAAGCAGCCATTTTCAAATTAACATTAACAGGCCTATTCTCATTGTTACCAGTAAAGTAAATTTTGTTACTTTTGTTTAGCACCCGAAATTGAATTTGGTATTCTGGCGAACTGGTTACAATGTTTGAAAAAAATTTGGCAGCACTGCTTTTTTCGTCCACGTCAAATTACATCTGCCACTTGATAAAGTAAAAAGATAAATATTCACATCGAAATGTAAGACGGTGCACAAAAAAATTAAAAAGTTTTAGTAATTTGTTTATTAAATCATAAATATTTGAACCTAATTTTGGAAAATATGCTTGGACAACAAACAAGTCTCGAAAACTTCTTAATATATGGCTTTTTGCACTTTTTTCTTCATCTTCAATGAATTCCAGACCTAATATATCCCCACCCATTTTGGTTTTTTATTTTTTCTCAAACTTGCAACACAAAATCAAACAGCAGATTTTTTTGTTACCTCCGATTCCCCTGGTAACAAAATTTACAGGCTAACAGTGAGCTCAGAATACGTAATGGTAACAAAATTTACTGAATGGTAAATTTTAATACCTAAGTAAATTTTGCTACCTCGACAGAATAGGCCTGTAACAATGAGTTTGTGCTGTTTCGGCATTAGCAAATTCATTTCGTTCTATGAAATTATTTCATAAGTTTAAAAAATGTAGAGCAAACTCTAATTGAAAAAATTCAAATACTCTAAAAACAACGAGTGAGTGCCCGAAATCAATTCTCAAATGTAACGAGTGAGAAAAATTGATATCATACATACAAAGAATTGAAAAGTGACGACGGGCAATGTAGTAAAAATTGCGCAAAAGCAAACAGTGTAAAAACAAACTGCGTAAAGACACCAACAAGTGAATTGCAAAACTGGTGGCATTGCTGGGGATTTAAGAAAACAAAGTGCGGCAGCTTTCGAGTGCGAACAAGAAATCCAAATATAAGATAAGCGAATATTAGTTTATTTGTAATATACCCTCCAGTGAAATTGGTAAGGCTTTACTTTATGGAAGCGAAGAGCTGATACGGAACGATATCCAAAAAGGAAAAGTAAACACAAACTATCTGAAGAAAAAATGAAAACAAAAAAGATGGCAAAAAAAAGATGACTGACATACCTAAATTGAAGCGTTTGGCGCTAAACAACCTTAAAAAATCCTCAAGCCCATACTATTTCTATGACCCATTCCACAATAATGTTTAGAAAATGGAAATGTCAGATTTAACAGTGCATTATAGAATGAAGTCAGGTGTGAAAGATAGAAGTTTGAAAGAAAGAGGATAATACTGGTGAAAAGGAAATTTATAACCAAAATTAATTTCAATTGTCGGAGGCAGGCCAAAAAAGTTCATTGTATCTTAGTTGAAATAAATGCGCTTAAGGGGTAAAGGGGTGAAAAAATAGGCTCATTTTTTTTTAATTTATTGGAGGAATATAGCAAAAGGAATAGAATTTCCATTTAACCATTTCATTGAAAATAAATTAAAGTATAAAAAAATAATCTCTAATTTTTATTTTGTTACAAAATGACGGTTATGGATTTTATTATTCAATCAATGTTTTTTTGAATGGAGTCCACGGGAGCAGAGATTTCTTCTAAAGGATGAGACCAATAATAGAAATGCAAAATGTTTTATGATCACAAAAAAAAGTTTACATTTAATCGAAAAACGGCTACGTAATTATATTTGTCAAGCTAACATCAACCTTTTCACTGTACTTAGCGCGTGCTCTGAAGGGCAGCAGCAAAGTAAAAGGTTCAGCTATTTGAAATATTTTTTTTAATTATTTAAAACCAATTGCATATCATTTCTAAGGCCCTGAAGTATACTGTGAGCAAAAAAAAAATTGCGTTTCCCAAATTCATACAGTGACTTTACACCTTATTTTACTAAATGTTCTTAAAATGATGTAAACTTCAAGAGATTGAGAAAACGTCAGCGCTCTTATGTAGGATAGGGCGGTCTTATGGTGTTAGAAAAGCAACGCAACGATCCAATTTATTTATAAGTATATCAAATAGGCACGTCGGTACAGGCGCTTCGTAATACTTTGAATTTTAGTCGCATTTTTTCTCTTCAGTAAGCCAAAATTGATTAGAACGAAACTCTTTATTTGGCGAAAGCGCTCAAAGATCCCCATTTGTTATTAGTGCCACTGACATAGAAAATTTACTTATTTTGATTTTTTGCGGAATCATAAAAAAAAAAAAAAAATGTTGAGAAAAATTTTGCAATAAAAATGTAGGTATCTGAAATATGTGATTATTTGGTAAGCCTAGAAGTAAGGTTGCTATAACCATTTATGGTATTTTCAATTGGTGGCCCTGCGATGGGGTAAAATCTGTCGATTTTGGAGATTAATTCAAAATTTAAATTTCAAGGTACAAGAAAAGTTTTGGTATCAAATCAGAGGAGATAAAATCCTCCATCACTGACTGAAGAAACATTTTGCAAAAATTTGTACAGTTTTCTTGCAACATTCTCAGAAAATTGCAAGTTTATTTTTTTTTTTTGCGTGCACACAATGATTCGTTAAATTTTTGAAAAATGGAACCTTCTTGTTCAGGTAATTTAGTAAATTCAAAGTGATTCCATTTTTTTTGTGCGAAAACCTTAAAATATGGCGGTTTTCGAACATAAGTATATGCAGTCATATAGCTGTGAGTTAAGCGGGGTAAAGCAAACTTTTTTCATTTCTATAGGTTTAGGCAATTTTAGTTTCTTTTTGTAAAAAGAAATTGCGCCAATGTTACGCACTTTCCCATCATATGCATGCCTGGCCAAATAGACACGAATTTCTTAAGGCAGAACAACAACAAATACAGCAAATGCAAAATAAACGAAAGAGTTCATATAGAAATACAAAATCTTTTAAATTCTACTTACAGAAATGAATATTTGGGATTTGAACACAATTCAATTTTATCTATGGTTGATGGAAAAGTATGCAACGCATTAACAGAAAAAATATCTACATAAAAACGTTAATTATGAGGAGCTAGGTCAAAAAATTGTATATAAAATTTATTTAATAGTGAAGAAAGATGTAAAAATTTAAATTTTACTAT